CTTTCTTTCTTTCTTTCTTTCTTTCTATTTACTTATTTATTTGGTTTTTTGAGACAGAGTTTCTCCGTGTACTTTTGGTGCCTCTCCTGGATCTTGCTCTGTAGACCAGGCTGGCCTCGAACTCACAGAGATACACCTGGCTCAGCCTTCCAAGTCCTGGGATTAAAGGCATGCACCACCACCGCTCAGTGAAGAGCCAATTTCTTAAGACATGGAGTCTCTAAACATTAGGGACATTATGAATTTATTTCTTTGAACACTGGGCAGAGAATAATTCGAAAAGAAAACCAGTATAATCCCATAGGTAGCAGGAGTTTCCAACTAAGTGCAGCAGTTTGGAAGACCTTATGTTGTTATGTACCTAAGTAAATTCAGTGTCCTGGAAGCACCAGTGTCTTTATTTGCATCATGGGCATTTCCCACCAGACTCCAGTCAGTGCATTTACCTGGAAAAGTGGACACACTCAGAACATAGAGACAGAAAAGAGTTAATATTTACAAGGGGAAGTCAGTATCTAAAAGGAAGGAACTGCATCCCCCCCTTTCAATTTCTGTCTTCTGGCTGCATTCCAAACAGATTTAATCACTGTCCCAGTATCAGTCACTATCAGAATCTCTCCCTGGTGGCCTGCACAAGGCGGCCACTTGCCTCCAAGACTGCCTGCCTGCCAGCAGCCTCCTCACCACCCATCACTCAGCTCTACCCAGTCAGTCCCTCTGGCTCCCTTCACAGGCTGAGTTACTGACATGAATAAATACAGAAAGCCTGTTGACACGGGGCTATTTCAATGAAATTAACAGTGAAAACAGGCAAGAACAAGGGTTTGGTTTCCATCCAAGGAACATAGGTTGATTCCTGCCTGCTCTTCCTTGGCTTTTGACAGGGATGCTAGGCCTTCAGTGACTGCCGCCGCCATTGTGCATGATTGTGTTCTGGTTGAGAACACTGTGTCTATCTGTGTTTTCACTCAGAACACTCGTTATTGCTTATTTTTGAAGGGGCAGCAAGTCTGTTTTCCAGAAATTAGCGTCTCTTTCTTCAATAGTGGTGGCGCCAGAGGACAGCTCCTTTAGTCAGCCCGGTGCCATGAAATAACGTGAAGCAGTAACTAGGAAAGTTCGTCCCTGGAGGTCCTGCCTGCCCAGCTTGCTCAAGTCTCCACTTCTCATTCGATTTCCTTCTGCTCTGAAGCGAGAGGGCAAGCTTTCATTTTCTCTGGAACAGAAAATGTAGGCAGATCCTCAATCAGGACTCTCCTGCAGCATCAAAGGGAGCTCTGGATGTGAGGCTCTTCCAAGCTCACCCTCCGTGTTGAGGTCCGCTGCCTCTGTCTCCAGAGAATGATACTGGAACTGCGAGAGGTACCCACCACCCATAATCAACAGGCCTCTTCTTGGTTCATTCCTCACGGGCAACACAAAGCTCGGCCGCCTTCTCTGGTCGCTTTTGGACTTTCCCTTTATGATTTGATGCGGAAGGGTCAGGTGTACCTTTGCGCTCCTTTCGTATGTTTATACCGAGTTCTATGCATTTTCCAGCCCTGTGCTAAGGAAGTCCTCCTAAGATTCGCAAAGGCGACCCCTTTTCAGGAAGCCAACCGCCCTATGCTAGGATTCCAAGAGTTTAGCGTTGTCTTTCCTTTTCTTCTTCATTTCGTGCATGTTTTAAACACCAAGCCAGTGAGTGTAATTTCAGAGGGATGATACTTTGGAGCTGTGCAGTATTTTGAAGCATTTAAGACTCTGCCTGCTTCTTTCCTGCCCAGATCACCTTATGATTCCATCTTGCATTCAGTTTTGAATACTGAGCAATTTTATCCTTGGAAATTTTATCACACAACAAATGGGATGAGAAGAAGGACTGCCATGAAGTCAGCGGAGGCAGCATTTGTTGTTAAGTGGTTGCTTTCCTTCAGAAAGTCCAATCACAAAGGTTGTCAAGAGTTTAAATTGTTTAAATATTCATGAAAAATTAAAGCAGTAACTTAATCAAGTAATGATTTAATTAAAAGCCCACCTCTCTACTTGTGTCTCCTACCTGCCTGAGACTTTTTTTTTTTTTTTTTGGTTTTTCGAGACAGGGTTTCTCTGTGTAGCTTTGCGCCTTTCCTGGAACTCACTTGGTAGTCCAGGATGGCCTTGAACTCACAGAGATCTGCCTGGCTCTGCCTCCCGAGTGCTGGGATTAAAGGTGTGCGCCACCACTGCCCGGCTTTACCTGAGACTTTTATGAAACTGTTGTCATAGGGATATTCAAGTCCTAGGAGGGTGAGAACTTCTGAAACTGACTCTTCATGGCTTCACCTGTGGAGACTGATGGCACTCCAGTCTTCATCAGGCTGACCTACTCACAGAACCCAGACCCCTCAAAGGGGTTTCTGTTTGAATATTTTAAAGTGAGAAGGAAAAATGAATGTCTGTAATTAGTGTATAATAATGGATTCTACCTGATTCCATTTTGGGGTATAAGCAACCTGTGATTGCACATCTGCTGTCCCTTCTGCCTGGAAACCTCCTACTACTCCACTTCCTACACAGAACATCCCACCCACTCCCTTTCCATACGTCCTTACTGTCAGGTGCCCATTCATGTCACCCTTCACTCTTCGCAGTATGGCTGAGCTTGTCAAATGAATAAATACTTCAGAATGCTCACATTTCATTCTCATGAATGTAAATGTATTAATAATTTTTCATTTCAGTTAATGAGGTTGAATGGAAAAATAGTATTGTGAAGAATCTCTTGGCCATTGTTAGTCAATCATTCAACTGGAGTAAATTCAGAAATGTCATTGGCAGGTCTCTTGTCCATAGTGGCTCTTTTTCCCCCCTCTATCATATTTTCTTTCTGTATAACTCCATAACATTTATGTGATGACCACCCAGATGCAGCCTCACTTCCTGTGCTGGACAGTTTTATGTCAACTTGACACAAGTTAGAGTCATCTGAGAGGAGGGAACCTCAATTAAGAAAATGCCTCCTTAAGATCAGGTTGGCCTATAAGCCATTTTCTTAATTAGTGATTGGTATGGGAAGGCCCAACCCAATGTAGGTGGTGCCACCCATGGGCTGGTGGTCCTGGGTTCTATAAGAAAGTAGGCTGAGCAAGCGATGGGGAGCAAGCTAGTAATCAGCAACCCCCACTGTCTCCAGCTCCTGCCTCCAGGTTCCTGCTCTGTTTGAGTTCCTGTCTTAACTTCCTTCAATGATACACTATGATGTGGAAGTGTAAGTCAAATAAACCCTTTCCTCCCCAACTTATTTTTGGTCTTGGTATTTCATTACAGTAATAGAACAGTGACTGACACTCTCATAAGCAAAGAGGCAAGTTTTGCAAATATCCCCTTCTTTATTATACAAAACTTTGTATCATAATTTGTCAGAAATGAATGAAATTTTGAAATATTTTAAACCTCCAAAATATAGTTAACTATGCATCACTTAAAATTTGGCTAGATGATCTATAAATGTAACAAGAATAGAGTATAATTTTATGAAGATCTTCATAATGATATAAAATCTTGATGATTATTAAGAAAGAGATAGCAGTATCCAAATTGTGATTATTTAATTTATTAATCTATTAAGGCCATGCTCATTTTATTCCATTTAGCACATGAAACTGAGAGATCAACTCTCAGTTACCGAAATAACTTTGATCATTGTAGATAATTCATAATTAAGTTCTTAAACTTGGTTGCAGAATATTAATGCATTTCAACTAAATACATATTTAATGAAAATTTAAAACTAAATGTTTTTGAGTTTTACATATTTATTATCTGTCCTTTAAATGCCAGCATCTTTGACATACATATACTACAGCTCAATGCTTCTGTGGAGATTAAAATATGTATTGTATTAGTGTGAGTGATGATTTATGCCAGGACGTGCTGTCATCTTGTCTAATAAAACTGATTACAAAGAAGATAGCTTTAATCTATGTTGGAGGGTGTTGTTTTGAATTCTCTATATTCAATTTTTAGCCAGGAAAGCTATTTATAAGACCTCTCCACATTAAACAAAACCCAATCAGTTCTACTGACAGTGAGATGACTTCTAAAAATGAAGAAGGATTAGAAACAGGCCTGTTATTAAGAGTGTAATCCAGGCTCAGATTGTCAAGGGACCAGGTTTGCACCTACAGGGGGATGTCTCGGGAGAGGGAGGTGAAGCCTAGGAGGAAGGGGCAGGACACAGCAACAGGATGCGATATGCTATAAACGCTATTATGATGTCTTACAAAATGAACATTTTTTAAGAATCCTGAATTCAGAGTCTATTTAAAATGTATTACCCAAAAGGCTATTTGCTATCTTTAGAAGTTTAATGCATTTTAAAGTAATACTCTTGCATTATGAAGTGTGAAATCACAAAGTTCGACATGGGAAGACTATAACCAAGGGCTCCTCCATTATCTAGTGCCAAGAGTCAGGCAGGGATCCCATTATCGACAAACAGGTGTCACATTTACATCAATTTTGCTTGCATAGGTCATAGGGTGCAGAGCAGCCAAGAATCAATTAGTAGAAGAAATTGAACATGCCCTACCTCTTAAAGCTTATACTGGGGGATATATAAAATATTTTCTTCCTAAAATCTCTTTGGGATAAAAGAATGTATTCATATACATAAAATTTATATTTGCAAATTTTCTATTGGTAGGTCAATTATACCCTATAGAAGAAAAATAAGAAAAAAAAGATGATTTCATCAAGCAAGTAGCTACTATCTTCCTGCAATGAGACTGCACTACTCTCATCTGTTATGTAATTTTGGAAAGAAACCATTATTACAATGGACATGGTTGGAGAACAGTGACAAATGCTGCCTTTGCAGCACTCTAACTTACCTGGCGTAGCTGAAAGACATTGGTGTGTGTGATGTTGAAGAACAGACTGACAATGGTGTCAGTTTATTTAAACGATAAATCCCATTTACATTAAAATAGACATTACAACATGCCAGTGTATATAATAAAAATGACAAGAGCCATTGTATTCCCAGGAACCCTAATCTACTTTCCCTTAATTTAGTTCTTGTTACATTTATCTGCATTTTTCATATTGAGAAATTTTGGTCTATGTGTAGACAATAGAATGCAATATTATAGAGATGATGAGATTCCTCCACAGTGTCTTGTCTGCCCCATCTTCTCTGGCATTGAAATTAGCCCAGTTATTATTCCAGGAAGAGAACACATCACTATGAGCACAGTGGGACTTGCTGTGTACCAGCATCTGTTGAACACATCTAGACCAGGGAGGTTAGCTAGACAGGATATTCATGTAGGTATTTCATTGCTTGTTATCCAGGGGAAAGTCTTGATTATCTTCCAGGGAAGTACATCAGTACCTTGCTTACTTTAGTTAGAAGAATCACGTAGCAAAACACCACCCAGTCAGAGATTGCCCCTGACGGCGGCAAGCTGCTGCTAAGGCAGAGCTTTCTTGTTCAAAAATTGAGGAGATGGGTTCTGCCTCCAATAATTCAAAGAATAAGATCAAGGTGATGAATCTGGCAATAATTTGCAAAATCGACCGTGCTATCCTAAGTGGCTTACTATTGGAAAGTGCTTTACAGATAACGCAAAGCATTATCACAATTAATTATGAAAATTTCCCATGTCATAGAACAGTCATCAATGATACAATTTCATAGATAAGCATTTTCAGAGGTGTTCGGCTGTTTGTCGAAAGTCATGCTACTGATGATGGAGCTAAGTCTCAGCCAGAAGGACACACAGCTCTTGGTTCTCTGTATTTCAAGTGGCATTTTATAGATAAGGACCAATCTATTTTCAGCAAACATAAGGCTAGTGATTGTTTCTCACTCAGTCACATGCCACACCCTTTCCTACCAGCTTCCAGACACTGCCCAGGGATTCTCATTTTCCCTGCTCTTTGTTCACCCCCCACCTATTTTCCCTGTGTGCCACACCAGTTTTCAGAACATCACGATGTTACAGTGCTTCCTGGCACCCATCTCGAGCCTTGCCCTGCTCTGCACATTTTCTCCATCAGTATCTTAAACCAAGCAGCCCTTATCTGACCTTTTGGAGAAAGGCTTTGTTTTCCTGCAATCTAGGGTGTGGTTAGCTTATAATTTTTGTAGCTCTTTTGTGAATATAATTTTTATCTCCCAGAACTACATCATAAAATCAAGTAAGAGAAAAATAGATCTCATAAAATTTGAATAGTATCTATCAGTATAGTGGAATATCATTAGGAATCATTTTATTGCTACCTTTTCTTTTCTTAGACTAGTAGTGTATGTTTTTACCCTAGGTCTCTGGGCTACCCAGTCTCTGATTCTTGGTCATCCAAGCAGTGTTGGGTATGGTAACATCTCGTGGAGTGGCCTTAAGTCAAAGTCAGAGTCCACCAATAGGAACAGAGAACACAATAGTGTCATTTAAATGCCAAGTGGTCTTAAGGCCACTGGATGTATAAGTACAGGCTTATACAGTACCTCATGGCTTCTTTAGTTCTATTGGTTCAGTTAGTGTATTTTAGTAATTATCCCTTTTCAAATAAACTCATGTCATAATAAACCTGTATTTGCTTTAGGAAAACAGAAAAATCTATTAATTAGATTGCATCTAAGGTATTAATAAACAATTCATTTTAGACATAATGATGGCATTTCAGTTATTTTTAAAGGAAGAACATACTTCCCACAGCTCTATGCATCACCATTTAAGGGAAAGGTGAGCTACTGTTTGAGGCTTTGATTGAAAACAGTCCCGAAGAGCCCAGGCAGGAGAAGAGGGGAAGAGGAATTGAGAGATAAAACAAGATGGGCCATTTGTAGATAGTTACAAAGTAAGATGACGGGAGCTCATTGGGTGTTTCTCCATTCAGTTTTTTTTTTTTCCAGAGATTTATTTACTTATTTTGTCTGTATGTGCATGTACACTCAGAGGCCAGAAGAAGGCACTGAGTTCCCTGGAAACTGGAGTTACAGGTAGTTGTCAGTCTCTAGATGTGGGTACTTGGAACTGCACACAGGTTCTTTACAAGAACAGCAAGTGTGCTTAATGGCTAAGCCCTCTCTTCAGGCTGTTCCATTAATTTTTGTGTATGATGGAAAAGTTCCATAATAAAAAGTTAACATAAATGTAAAAACAAACACAAAGAAAACTGACACTTCCCATAAGCACTGAATTAAGTCACGAATATATGAGAAAAATACTTTAATGATTCTGGCTTCCTGAAACTAATTTTATATTGGCAATAAAAATAAAGGTTTTGAAAACTTTCTCAGGAATATGCTTCATGATGCTCTGAAACGAAACTAGAGTTGAAAGGAACACCCTGTTGGCTGGCTTTGGTCTTCGTACCCTCTTGTGTAAGCTTTATCGTTCATGTTTGTGTTGCCATATAGAGAAAATTACATGTGGTGCATTTAACTTATTTTATCCATAAATTGCAATATTTTCTGAGTACACAAAAACTATGCCTCAAGTCCATCTGCCTAACTGCACATGTAGAAGGAAAAAAGGGGGAATAATAGATGTAGTAAAAGAAAAGTTTAACCCGAACTCTTGGACTCAGGTTGTCACCCGAAAGAGAAGCAATGATGGTGGTCACCTCCTCTTCACTCCATCCTTTCACTTGATAAGAATGCCCTGAACTTCTGCATAGAGCAGTTTGAGGAAGACTGAATTTCCAGGCTATATGAGTGCAATTGATTGGTGTGAGTCAGCCATCATGTTGGATCTCCAGGCCCCTAAGCATGGCATAGGGATAGATGCAAGCCCAGGCTGAGGCAAAAACACATGAAAATCACATTTGCCAAGGGACCCTGCTAACACATCTAGTGAATCTTAAGAAGCAATTCAACAAGACTCATTCTCTTGCAGGCCGTGAACAAGGAGTCAGCCTCAGCTACTGCTGGCACCCATTTGTAAGTGTACAACTATATTAGTGAGCAATCACGGAGAAAGAGAGAGGGCAGAGAAGAGATGGAGTAGGGCTGTTTCCAGGTGACATTGCTGAACCACTGAATCGAACTTCACTTTATTTCCTCTCCTGACTTCTTTGTTGGGAAAAACAATACATTTTCAACGTGATTAAAGGTAGTTGGAACTAGGTTTACTGACCACAGCACTCTAGTGCTCTAGCTGAGGATGCAAATCCTGAGCCTTCCTTGGACAGCATTGCTGTTTTCTGATGGGCAGCCATAATCCATATGTGTCTTGCTAGCTGCTTTCTGTCTCCATCACAGTCTGTCTCCAGATGGCTGAGCTCAATGATGAATCTGCTGAGCTCTGGTACCCAGGTGCTTAGGAAAGTGGATGGCAAGCTTCATGAGAAATGGATGTCAACATGACGATTTAACATGTAGATGGCCACAATATTTTACAACCTTTTACTGTGTACAGCGGAAGTGGAAAAGTTAGCTGTGCCAAATAACATAAATGATATCCATTCTGCCTCTATTAACGAATTGAACCAAGAGGATGAGATATCAGCTTCAAGTCAAAGGACTAGTGGTGGTGGTGGTGGTGGTGGTGGTGGTGGTGTGTGTGTTTATGAGATGTGAGTGTGTGTGCATGCACTCATATGTCTATGAGTGTGTGTGCTCCACAGCATACGTGTTTAGGACAGAGGACAACCTCAGAGGTCAGCCCTTGCTTTCCACCTTGTCTGAGACTGGGATTCTTGCAATATTTCCCTCTAACACTACACATGCCAGGTTAACCAGACCATGAGCTGCCACAGCCTCCTGTCTCTGCCTCCTGCCTCACTGTGGGAGTACTGGGGTTACAGGCACGAGCTGCTGTTCCTACTGCTGATTCGGGGGATTCTTAGGACTGCATGACAAGCACTTACCTTCCCGGTCCCTGAAGGACTTTGTAAACCTTAGAGGGAAGGGAATAAAAAAAACATGGGGAAATATTTTGGTATGCATCCCATTTATTTATTAGCTCATTCTCTCAGTTCCTTAAATAATCATTTGAAAGGGATGTGGAAGGACTTCATACATGGAAGTGTAGGGAAACTAGAAAAATATATGTCGGCGGTGAGAAGGTTAGCCCTCAATAAAACATAATTCATGGAGTCAAAACTCTGTAAACAACAGCCTGTCCTTAGCAGCCCCGGGAATAATTCTTAGGGTAGAGTACTTAGTAGGGTACAGGCTGAAGTTAATAGTTTATGGCCTGTAAAAATATGATTTACCATATATTTGTTGTAGAATATGAGAATTCAAGTTGGCAAAACCAAGAAATGCCAATTGCCTATCACTTGGGAAGGTATGTCTTGCTATCATGATTTGCTAGAATGAAAGGCTTATAAACTGGGATTTCAAAATAAATAAAGCAATTACTTCTAGGTTTACTTCTAGGTTGCCTACAATTTTGAATTTCTTCTATATATGATTAAAGTTAAAAAAAATAAAGAAAAAAAAGAGGTATCCTTTAGATTTCGAAAACCCAGATCTCAAATGCTGGGGTCATTCCCCATAAAAGTGCTTTATGTGTTCTCCCTTGTTACGGGAAGTCAGCCATACATCTAATTCTCTTCAAGGTTAGAGCTTATCATGAGCACTTTTACATGTATGCAACCTATATAGTGCTCAAAAGGGCCTTACAATTTAATGCAGCATAGTTGTTATCTTAGAATCCTTAATGTTCTATCAGCATGGTAGCTATCTGATATCCCAGCATTTAGAAACTGAGGCAGAATATCCTGAGTTCTAGGCCAGCCTGGGCTACATAGTGAGACTCTGTCTCAACCAACAAACAAAACATCAAAATGGGTAGACATCAGATAGGACAGGTGGAATCATTAGTGGAATGACAGGTTAGTAAGTGTAGTAACCAGTGAAGAATGGAGACATCAGTTTGGGCAGGATTTGCTTGAGGTTTCTGAGGATCTAGCACATTAACTCACCTTCTGATGAACACTAATGACCATTTGTGGGGCAGTGATCTTACAGTCCTCCTAAAGGGCAAGGCAAGTGAAGCTCGGGAAGAAAGAACCATGTGTCAAAGGCACAC